CAAATTCTAGTTGGATACGTAGCATTGCCTATAATATAGCAATATTAATAAAATAACATGAGATCATTACTTTTATTTTCGTTCAGGCCAAATAGCTAATATAACGTAAAGAAACCAATTAGCCTAAAGGCTTGGAATGAGGATATTAGGGAAAAATGTCTTTTATTTTTTTAGTGATGGCTTCCTTTGTAATTTTTTTTTTTTGCTTTTTCGTCTGATGCTTAATGTTGGAAATCACACTTTTAAAATCATCTTAAATTTTGTCGGACGTTTTACGATTGGAGTGACGCCTATTTCCTAAACCAATACATTGCACGTTAGAAGACAGATTTAGAGTTCTAATAAGGCCAAATATGGTTATTTCAGAAATTTAGATGATGAAATAGGCTATTATTGAATATGAAATAATTGTGTTTGGTAAGACATAATACAGATTTGTTATAAATCTTAGTGCTCATAATGAAAGGGCTGCATAATAACAGTGTAGTGTAGTGAAGCAAGATGCAATGAAATATACTGTTCTCTCTTAATTCAGGCCTGTCACGTGGCTGCAGAATGCAGAATATCATTGTAAAGGCGATGTAACAATTCTCGAAAATAGTGCACATTGTTTGCAATAATCAACATGCATCAATTGTAGTCTTGTACGCTGAAAGCAAAACTATTAAGTTTTAAATGTTCTGAGACTATGCATATTTGATTTAGGCTATTAGTAGGCTAGTAGTAGCAGTAATAGTAGTAGTATTGAGGGGGAATAAATGTGGAATATTAACGGATAAACTATGCTTTTATGTAGTAAAAGTATAGTTTACTTTTGTTTAATGTAAACAGTAGCCTACAATTGGTTGAACACAATGAGCATTGATTTACATAGGCTACAGAATTAATATTTATTAAAGAAACTGTGGTGAAACGAATAGAATGAGCATAATTATTTTGCTGATTGTCTCTATATTGACTTATTTTACTAGAAGCCTATTGTCTGAAAACAACTGATCAGAATCTGTATATGGGTTAAACAAATGCTCTTCATAAAAATTCGTTTGCTACATTAATTTCGCAAAATGTGTTTGAACGTTATGTTAACCAAACTTGTGTTTTTCTTCCATATGGTTTGACCATCGTCACCTTTGAGGATTGTAGTTCACCCGAGTTTCCATCTACACTATGCAGGTGGATTATCCGTTTGTGCATATATTTATTAGCTGTATAAATTCAGCATTCATTTATTATTTGAATCTCCCACCACCTCCTCTTCACCTCACCCCTGTGTATAAGCATAAAAGATCTCACTCAATACAAAACGATTCAATAGGCTACAACTACACTTGCACTGGAATCACGGTAATTGGAGGTGTAGTTTTGATTCTGGCCACTAGACGATGCTATTTCCACATTTACTACTTATAGATCAGTCAGTGTAATCAGCAATGACCTGGAGGCACGATCCCCTTTTCAACACAGACATAACTCATACAAAACGACTAACATTTGTGATTCGAGATTATGCTGATGTTAGATTTTGTCAGGTGAAGTTTGTGTAAACCCTTTAGATACATTCACATTTGTATGGTGATTTGCGAAAACTGATAGGCTACGTTATTATTATTATTATTATTATTTTAATTTTACAAATTTTCTTAATTTATTTAAAATGAGACTTTCACTGTCGATCTTCATTAACTAGCCATAAACCTTTGTATTTTTTACGGCTTCCCCAGTCGTTTTATTTATTTATATTACTGGGACGTTATTAGGACGAAAATGGCAGACATTTCTCATGAATGACCCCGTGTTTTTAAAAATAAATGGTTAAATCTTTGATCGAACGTGCATTCAATACATTTCAGTAATTTACTTTGAGACAGTAGCCCAGCGCGTTGCAAACCGCCACGTAATTATTGTCTTTTTTTTACAGATTCGTTGGGGAAATGGCATCTTTTCAATTATTTACGTTCTCAAACTGAATTGTTTTCTTGTTTCTGAAGTCTCGGGCATATATATTTTTAATTGTTTCACGGTTTCACTCTTTCTGCTTGAATGTTGTTTTGACTCCAAGAAGTCAGCTAATTTTAGATCCCAAGTTACCCAAGAAATGGAAAAGAGAGAGCTCATGGGGACCGTAAGAAAGATGCTCAAAAACAAAAAACCCAGAGCTCAATAATTTAGTTGTGCTCAAGACACCAAGCTTTTGCGTGCAAGAAGTTCACATTAATTAGAGAAACATTTTCCACGACAAATATACCACAGTAATGTTCATTCACAGTCGGTGAAGGAGTGTGTCAATGTCATAGCAATTTATTATTGTTTTTGTCATATTAATACAAAATAAAATTAATATGAACATTTACAGAGCATAATTGAGCTTGTTAAATCATTTAGATATTTTAACCAATATAATGTAATATACAAATATAATATAATACAATTTAATACAGAAACACTGAAACTGTACTAAGTTTATATATGGGTCAGATAATAGGTAATTATATTTTCTAGCATAGTGACAGTTTTGTGTAGCATATTACACCTTCATATTCTAAGTTTATATATGGGTCAGATAATAGGTAATTATATTTTCTAGCATAGTGACAGTTTTGTGTAGCATATTACACCTTCATATTCTAAGTTTATATATGGGTCAGATAATAGGTAATTATATTTTCTAGCATAGTGACAGTTTTGTATAGCATATTACACCTTCATATTCTATCTATCTATCTATCTATCTATCTATCTATCTATCTATCTATCTATCTATCTATCTATCTATCTATCTATCTATCTATCTATCTATCTATCTATCTATCTATCTATCTATCTATCTATCGATCTATCCATTCAGTTCATGCTCTAGTTACTCATCTGTAAATCTGCAGTTATGTGGCCCATGCGATAAAATATACAATTTCTCACGGAAGTCATATTTACGGAACACAGTTTCACTTTACATTCAAATACCAACAGAAACTATTTCCACCTACAGAGAAAGCAAGAGAAAGTGCGCGCTCTGTGATTTCAGGGTAGGCTATAAGATGTTTATGATTTTTATTGAACATGTAAGATATAACGAACAACGATCTAATAATTTTGGATTAAAATATTTACCCAAATATTTAAATGATAATTTTGTTAATAATTATGATTGGTTCATTGTTTGTCTCTTTGAAAATTCCAAAGGCTTAAAATGTGCGGTTTTTCAAAAGAGAACGAGACATTAATAATCACACTATTGTTATTATTATTATTATTATTGTTTAACTTTTGTTTTCTGTTTTCCTATGTAATATATAGACATGTTATCAAACGAATTATTTGTATTTTAACCATAATGTTACATTTGATTAGTTGTGAAAGTAAAAGAGCATGTTGTTGAAACAAGCGAAACTTTAGCTGATGGGAACATTCTTGTAGATGTTTTCATTCTCTCAGTGACCACCAACTTGTATGCCACTACATCAAAATAGGAATTCACCTAAGTTTACACGAAATGAACAGGCTGTACTTCATATTTTATTTTAACTGCGTTTTGTCAAATTCAACGAGGAGCACAGTTAAGAAGTGACATCCAACTAATATTTGAATGTGTTTTGTGTGGCTTCATTCAGACCAGCGGACACCAGAATTTCAAGTTCCACATTATTTAGTCCGTATTAACAACACTATTCCATTTAGCATTTTACCTGTCACGCAACGCTGCAACACCATCATCATCGTGATCATTATCTTGTATTATAATAGTGACGAATGAGGTTGGAGAATCAGCCAGCGTTCGCTCACACACCCCTGAGTGTCTCAAAGCAGCAGAGCAGCCAACAGCACACACCATTGTGCAGTTAATGAGTTCTCATTAAACCACCACAAAGGTAAGGGTTTTTTTTGTACAAACATATGAATAATGCCTGTAAATCTGAATGTCTGCATGCATTTTAATCTTCATGTGATGCAGCTTAGGCTATTTGTGGCTATAAAGACTGCCAAACTAAGGCCATAGTTGTAGAAATAAACAAACGGTTGTGAAGGATCTGTTTAGGAACTATATTGTCGAGAACGAGTGTTCAGGTTCAACTTTGACAACTTGTAGGTGATTTGAATGTGGCAAAAGCATATGAAGACCCTAAAACATTGGGCTTCGACATGCACATGCTCTTTTTTCCCTGCCCGTGTTCCAGTATTGCTCGTTTCTCTTGGACACCACCGCTTCCAGTGCACATTACAAACCGTTTCACAGTCTAGAAGATTTTCAGTCTTTATAGCTTACGACTTGTGGAGACTGTGTCATTTGTGCTGTTGTGAGTTGTCCAATCGACTTAAGACCACCAAAGAAGAGTCTGTCACTTCCAATGTGCTATTATAGAGAAATCAACCATTAGAAGGTGATTCCGTTAAAACAATAACAACTCCTCTATCGACACAGAAACTAAATTAGCGAAAGTGCCTCATCCATCATTTCCAAACAAGATTTTTTTTTTCATTATCCGTTTTAACATTAACCCACAAATCCAGCCGTAGGTTTTCCCCTCCACAAGATTGCACGTTATCTTTAACGTCTGTATAGTGCAGATCAGTCATCATGTCTGTGTCACTTCATTGGGTTAACAAGTGAACATTTACAAGACAGCGATGCATTCGGATCTCGTAAAATGCATTGAAAAGAGATGCCGGCGTGCAAGGGATCTGAAAGCTTTTCAATAGAAATGCAAGATAATGATTGAAGTAAAATTATAGCAAGCGTTTGAAACGGATGTCAACACAGACCGCACCAAAAAAAAAAAAATAATCAAGTCAAACTAAGAAGCTAAACACAAGTTTAGCTAAGTCGCTGTCTTGATAACTTATACGTGGAATGCATTAATTACTTACCTTGGACAGCCCCGTCCCTCCCTCTCTCCCTGCCTGTCACACTTCCACGTTTGCTCTCTAGTCCTCCTCCCCTCCCACTCCCCACTCCTCTCTCGGCTCTCCGTCAGTCCGCGCGCCGCGCAAGGGAGAGATTGAAAGTGACACACTCACATTGTTGCTCTTGAGATTTTACGCCGCTGTAATAGGTAGGCTAATGTCCGCATCGCACAAAGCAGATACTTGACGTCTGTTTTAGCTCGGTTTCTCTTTGTGTGCATGCAGCAACATAGATGGACGTTTTTAGATTTTGATGCTCTCTTTGCGCCCGCTGCTGAGGTTTTCAGTTCTGCCACGGACACTCGTGACTCAAACTCGCGGTAAACGGTGAGCAAGATTCTGTACTGCCGGAGAGATTGTCATCGGTCGCTTCTCGGAACTTCTTGGATCTCTGTGCTGTGTTCAATCTCGTGCACTCTCTCTCTTTCTTTCTCTCTCGCGCTCTCTCTCTCTTCATGCTGTCTATCTCCTGCTACCTGTACCCCTCAGCTCGGAGTCTCTCAGTTCCAGTGGCTCAGTCACAGCGCACAGTGCACGGAGCCCAAGTGTCCGAACCCACCGAACCCGACCGTATTCAGTCCTCCGCGAGGCAGCGAGAAGCCCAGCCCTGGATTCAATACTTTTAATCAATGGACAGAGCCCTCTCAACGGCCAACCGAGGTACCGACACGCCATAAGCAGTAAGTGCCACAGAAAATACCTTTAGTCTTCTTTCATCCGATGCTTCCCACATTCATGTTAACTCCTACTGTAACAGCAGGTTCCTTTTGGAACTAAGTAGCATTTCAAACCGAACTAACTATTCTGAATACAGATGAATCTAAATGTTGTGTTTGAAGATAAGAGGTAAATTCGTTGAGGCATTTGTAAAGAAAATAAATGTAGGCCCATTAAGCAGTTTAGAAGGCCATGGATGTTTTACATATTCCCACTTACAGCGTACTTCTCCTTAAGACAAGTGTAGCGCCTTTCTCACGTTATTTTCTTATTTTAATAAGTAAATAATGTTGCTTACAGTTATAAAACTTAGCTTTGATCGTGACTGAAGTTGAAGAAGTAAAACGCAGCGGACGAGAGGAAGACTTTTTGTCAATGGAACGTTTAGATTTTTTGATATTCACCAGAATATTCATGCTTTTATTAAACAGCCCAATAATAATAATAATAATTTAAGATGTTTTTCTGTATAAGTTTATTTTTAAATATAATTGCAATACACGAATAATAGCATCGTGCAATTATGTTTCATTAAGTTCAGAACAGGAGCACCAGAGTCATGCACCTTATGCACTGTCGATCGTGTGGAAATTTGAACAATTACTTTTTCTTTGAAGAATATAACATCATTTGTATATTCGGTTAAAGTTAAACCATTAATTTAATAAACCTGTCGAGATTCTCTGATGAATTGTTACGTGTTACTGACGAGAGTGTTTAAAGCGTTTTGAGCCCTTGAGGTGGAGCTGGTTTAAAAAAAAAAAAGATTTGAAGCTTTTTTCTATTTACATTTTTTTTTTTACAAATAAAAAAGCTAGTGAAATAATGTAAAATTATTAGACATTCTGAAAGCATTTTTAAGGGGAAACCCTGTTTTTACTCCAGCCCCAACAAGATGAGGCCTCGAGTTTAGCTTCACACGTGTGTGACTTTTATGTCTGTGGTCTCTTCGCCCTCAAGTCGTATGTATGTTTGTGTGTGTGTGTGTGTGTGTGTGTGTGTGTGTGTGTGTGTGTGTGTGTATTTGGTTTTGTATGTATTTAGACAGTGGCCTCAAAAGTCACATAAAAATGTATATAGGTAATACAATACTAAGTGTAATTATTACTAAATAAAGACAGCACAATCAAAATTTTTAAGCAAAACATTTCACAAAAAGATGTTACGTTTGCAATTATAAAACAAATATTGTATTGATAATTAATAATTGTAGTGGACGTCCACTTGCAATTACTGTAAATCTTAAAAAGTATATTTAAAAAACAACAACATAATATTAATTAAGTAAAAGGCCACTTAAGTGTACTTAGTTTTTTCAACTGCTTACAAACATTTTCAAAACTTTGCCTCTTTTTTTCAAAACTTTACACACAAATTCAAGAATTGCACACACAAAATGCAAACTGCCTCACAGCTCATGCAAAATGAAGCACTGCATTCAAAATATCACAAAATATCTCAAAAGCAAACATTTGCAAACACCATTGCCATAATATTAATTCCTGTTAGATTTTTGTGTGTTACACAGAGAATTATGTGTTGTGTTTTGCAAAAAGTGTTTTATGAAATTGAAAACGGAGTCAAAGGCCGAGAATTAGTGTATGGTTTTGCGGTGTATTTGGTGTGAGGGTCTGGTGTTTGAGTGTCAGGTTACAGAAATTGTGTGACAAAAAAAACGGTAAAGAAAGTTCATTTTTGTGAACACTTTCTTTTCTTTTTTCTTAACACACGTAAGTAACCTTTCAAAAAGTGCACTTTGTAATAGTTTCAAATTATACGTTTTACTTTAAAGTACATTTTAAATCATTATGTATTAAGAGGTACCGACACGCCATAAGCAGTAAGTGCCACAGAAAATACCTTTAGTCTTCTTTCATCCGATGCTTCCCACATTCATGTTAACTCCTACTGTAACAGCAGGTTCCTTTTGGAACTAAGTAGCATTTCAAACCGAACTAACTATTCTGAATACAGATGAATCTAAATGTTGTGTTTGAAGATAAGAGGTAAATTCGTTGAGGCATTTGTAAAGAAAATAAATGTAGGCCCATTAAGCAGTTTAGAAGGCCATGGATGTTTTACATATTCCCACTTACAGCGTACTTCTCCTTAAGACAAGTGTAGCGCCTTTCTCACGTTATTTTCTTATTTTAATAAGTAAATAATGTTGCTTACAGTTATAAAACTTAGCTTTGATCGTGACTGAAGTTGAAGAAGTAAAACGCAGCGGACGAGAGGAAGACTTTTTGTCAATGGAACGTTTAGATTTTTTGATATTCACCAGAATATTCATGCTTTTATTAAACAGCCCAATAATAATAATAATAATTTAAGATGTTTTTCTGTATAAGTTTATTTTTAAATATAATTGCAATACACGAATAATAGCATCGTGCAATTATGTTTCATTAAGTTCAGAACAGGAGCACCAGAGTCATGCACCTTATGCACTGTCGATCGTGTGGAAATTTGAACAATTACTTTTTCTTTGAAGAATATAACATCATTTGTATATTCGGTTAAAGTTAAACCATTAATTTAATAAACCTGTCGAGATTCTCTGATGAATTGTTACGTGTTACTGACGAGAGTGTTTAAAGCGTTTTGAGCCCTTGAGGTGGAGCTGGTTTAAAAAAAAAAAAGATTTGAAGCTTTTTTCTATTTACATTTTTTTTTTTACAAATAAAAAAGCTAGTGAAATAATGTAAAATTATTAGACATTCTGAAAGCATTTTTAAGGGGAAACCCTGTTTTTACTCCAGCCCCAACAAGATGAGGCCTCGAGTTTAGCTTCACACGTGTGTGACTTTTATGTCTGTGGTCTCTTCGCCCTCAAGTCGTATGTATGTTTGTGTGTGTGTGTGTGTGTGTGTGTGTGTGTGTGTGTGTGTGTGTGTGTATTTGGCTCAGACACACAGCACTTGGAGTTACACAAACGCACTCCACGCTCACTGTTCACTCAAGGTCTCCTCGATCGGCCACATTATTTCATGATCTGCAGTAGTATTTCTCTCTCTAATCCCTTGGTTGAGTACTCTAGGAATGTGTTGCTGGAACTCCCCTGAGCTGAGAATTCAGATTTAAAGGTTAATATTAATCTATTTGAAATATTCTTTATATTTTATCAAACTGTTCTAGCAGACGTTTGTATGTTTGTGTGTGTGTGTGTGTGTGTGTGTGTGTGTGTGTGTGTGTGTGTGTGTAATTGGCATTTTCAGACCTTTTTTTTGAGAGCCTAATTTTTCTTCTATGAGAGGAATCTGAGACTTGATTTCGAAAATGTTATGCTATTATTAAAAACAAAGCTATTATTCTGTTCAATGTGTCAAATAATTTTCAGCCGTGAGAAATTGACGCTCGTGGTTTGTTTACCCGCAACTTTTTTTTTTCATTTAACAATATTGTTATTGCATTGCTGTTTTTTTCTGTTGTTTAAGAAGGTTGTCACATGTGGTAGTATACATTAAAAGTAGCTAGACAATATTTAATTGTTTATGTTTTGTAAAACCCCGTACTTTTTGTTTTAAGTACCTCACGTTGTTAAACAACTGTTGATTGAGTTTGTATTTTTTATGAGGAGAAGCAGCCTTTAAAAGAGGAACCTGAAGCAAAAGATCGGGCATGATATTATGATCGTTTTATTTAACGAAAATTAATGTTACACTCTTCTGTTTCGATTAAATTAACACAGATTAAATTCGATTTAATTACATTTAGTATTTATTTAATTATTATTATTATTATTTTAAGTGAGTCTGGAAACTCTATAAAGACAGTCATTTAGGTGTAAAATCTAACACAGACATGCAGCACATAATAAATCAGAATAAGACAACCAGACAATGCATTTTTATAAGCATCTGAAAGTTCAAGATATTTAAGTTTCCTAAGTTACAAATAATTGCAATGCGACGAAATAAACCTGTGACCTGCGTCTTCTTAAGTAGCAGGTAGTCTGAATCATTTGGGCGCAGAAAAGATTTCATGTCACTGTTTTTCCAGAACGCATAATATTCCTCTTTAAGAGTAGGCCTACACATCTTTGAAGTGAAAGTCCTTACAGAACTAGTGGATTTCTCTTTAATATAAGGATGATGGAGGTTAACTAAATCGTCTTTGCTTGAAGCAAAAAAAAAAACCAAACAAACAAAAAAAAACACTATATGAAATCGCTATCCCTCTGTTGTCGAAAACAATACACATTACATGGAAATGGAACCACAATCCAGAAGACAGTTGTGCTCTTATTAGACTCTGAACTCGGAAGTAAATAGTTTAATAGAAAAAGTTTAATAGAAAAAAACACATGCCGTGTGCACATGATTTGTTATTATATTACATGCGATATTTTTTCCCCTGTCAGTTCAAACTCTGAGTTTTGTATACATAACTTTAAAACTTTACAGCAATGTATTTGAAGAGTCACTCACAAAATCATGCCTGTGCAAGAGGGAGGTATGGTTGCTATATAGCTGCCATCAGCGGTAGAGATCATTCTGTTTCTTTTTAAAGTTACATTGATGTATCCATTATTCATTTGCACAAACTTGGCCCCCATAGCCAGCGGAGACGTTTTCTTAACCAGGACCAAAAGGAAAAACAAAACGTTAATTAGTCTCCGTAACAGAGAGGCTCTATACGTCTCAGTAATTTTGCAATAGATGGAAGCCTCCGAGGATACTTTAATCTCGCGCTTTGGGGAGCCCATCAAAATGGATCAAATCCAGCATTTATTCACGGCATGTTTTCTCCAGCCCTACCTTCAGGGACTTCAGGGATCCTTGTTACTTTAGTCTATACTTACAATACCTGTTAATTATTTTGTCGTTATAGCTTATGTATGGAAGGCGGGTACAGTTTTTAGGTGCCTAGAAATGTCAAAATAAAAATAAATAAATAATAAGCTTCACGCAGCGAGAAACCCCATGAGCCTATTTCAATATTGCAGTGCCTTGTTGCTTTT